GCTCCCTCTCTGCCTAAACCATCTCCAGTATTCTCTGATTAGAAATCCTTTTTAAAGCAGGACAGTTTTGGGTTTTTGCATGAAAAGAGGATGTTTCATACAAATTCTGTATTGCTCAGGAGGAGGCTCCTGTGCAGGAGAATCTTTCAGAAAATGGAATGCTAAGCAAAGTGGGAAGCAGAAATAAATGCTTTTCCTTTGTCTTGTTTTGGGTAGGAAAAGATCTCAAAGTCACCCAGTGCCACTCTGTGCCATAGCAGGGACAYCTTCCACTGTCACAGGCTGCTCCAACCTGGCCTTGGACACTGCCACAGCCTCTCTGGGTACCCTGTGACAGGGCTTCCCCACCCTCACAGAGAGAATTCCTTCCCAGTATCTAATCTAAAATCTCTTCCCCTTCAGTTTAAAATGACACAAAGGATGTGGGCAAACCAGACAGAGGCACCCTAGGCTTTGTGCCTCACCAGTCAGGAAWTGGGAAGTCATTTGGGGCTTTGATACCTGGCTTTGCTGCTTCTCCCTAAGCTGGGTGAAAYTACAACCTAATTGACCTCAAAGCAGGAAAACAGAAAGCCTGTCCCTAAAGGGATGCCCAAGGAATGAGTGATGCCTTCTCCCCCAGCACTGCAGCAGGATGGAGCAGTTGCCAGGGTTGGTTTTTCCAGGAGCAGCATGTGGGGGTGACTCATTCCCTTAGGAATTTCCCTCTCACCCATCCCCTCCCAGAGAGCTCCAGCCCCTCTCTCTCTCTGCCTGGAGATTCTCCCCCAAAAGCAGCAAGGGGTGAGGGCAGCTGTCAGATCAGCCAAGAAGCAAAGACCCTCCCTGAATCCCTAACATTTCAGTTGTCAGCAGCTGTGCAGGGACGTGTCCAAGGCCCTGAGGTCCCACTCCCTCCCAGCTGCATGTTCTGGGAAGGAGGAGAGGGCAATTCTGCAATACTGGGCAGAGCTGGCCCATCAYGAGGGTGGGGGGACTGGGCATCAAATGGAAGACGTCTCATGTGCCAGTTGTCCCTATGGTGACCTCCAGGTGCAACCAGGGCTGGGCAGGGCACGAGAGGGAGCTCAGCCCTGCCAGACACCTCAGATCAGCTGTGTGTGCACAAACAGGTCCAGCAGGAGCCAGCCAGGGATGACCACACAGCCAGGTAGCCCGTAATTCATGGGATAACCATCTGCTGAAGCTGCAGACTCCCACCCTGTGCCTCCAGCTCTCCTCCAGACCAAGCAGCCAAGCCACAGGAGCAGAAAGTGCCTCCTTGCCATGGCCACTGAGCTGCTGCTGTGGCACGAGACCTTAATTCAGCTCCACACCGCAGCATGGGATCCAGCCCTGTGGGATTGAGTAGGTCCAAGGCAACCTTGGGGCCACACCTTGATTTCCCAAGGTGCAGAACCTGGAATGAGATCTTGGAAAGCTGAAGGTGGAAGGAAGAGAGTCCAGATGAGGCTCTCGTTTTCAGAAAAATATGAGAGGATCATAGAATCATGGAATGGTTTGGGTTGGAAGAGACCTTAAAGCTCATCTAGTGCTARCCCTGCCATGGCAGGGACACCTTCCAYCGTCCCAGGGTGCTCCCAGCCCCGTCCAACCTGGCCTTGGACACTGCCAGGGATCCAGGGGCAGCCAAAACTGCTCTGGGCACCCTCTGCCAGGGCCTCACCACCTTCACAGCCAGGAATTCCTTCCCAATATCCAACTAAATCCATCCTGTTTTGGTTTATAACCTCATCCTACCACTACTTACCCTGACAGAGATGCAGCAGCTCGGGCATAGGAATGGCAGAGATTTGCCCCATCTCCCACTGTGCTTTTCATTCACCACCTATCCCAAACACACAAACTCACCCTTTTCTTCCCCCCACCCAGGGCAGCCACAGCTTGGACATCAGTGGAAAATGATTCCTTGAATGAGTGTGGCTGGATCAGCTGACTGGGCTGGCTGCAGCAAATCTCGTGGTCACACAGCTCTCAATGTGCAGCAGTGCCTGCCTAAGCCTTTCCGTTTATAGGGCGGAGAGGGGAGCCAGAGTATGGAAATAAATCCTCTGGAAGCAGGAGGCCAAGGGGTTTGGAGACAGAACAGGAATCCCCAAGGGAAACAGGGTGCAGAGAGGGTGGGCAGCAAGCATGGATCAGACATGGAATGGAGCTGATGGAGCATCGCCAACTCCATGCTTCTGATGAGCCAAGGTCAGGGAAAGGCCTGAGCTCTGGAACCGGAATGAGAGCTCTGGCTGGGCTGGGGATGCAGTGCTGGAGTGGTCACAGCAGTGTGAAACCCCCTCCTGCCTCCCTGCTGCAGCCCAGCTCATCTCTCAAGCCCTGGGSTCCCCACAGGAGCAGAATTCCAGCTCTGGAATAAATCCCAGCTGTCTCCCAGCTCCTCCCTGGGCAAGCTGCCATGCCATGATAAAGCAGCTCCTCCCTGCAAGGCAGCCCCTGAGCTGCAACTCCTTGGGAAGGAGCCTGGTGATGGATGGTGTCAGGGAATAACAAATGCCTTTAATTCCCCCTTGATGCAGCAGCTCCCTGTGGGAGGCAGCGTGTCCTTAAGGAAGGCAAGCAGGAGGTATCTGCAGCTGTATGCCCAAGCACTCAGAAGCCTGATAAATCACCCCAGTCAGGCTGGAAGAATCCTGCCAGGCTCCAGTTTCCCTCTTCTGGACAGAYATAGGGTAAAACTCACTGCCTCACTTGGTTATTCCAATGTGAGGGGCTCATAGAAGTCCCTGAGTTACTCTGCAGGGATTTTCCTCACTGCTGGCACTTCCAAAGTCAGGAGAGGAGGGACCTGAGCAGGAGCTGCTACTGAGATTTCATTTCCAATATCCATTCCCCGAGTGTGAATGTTTCATGTCAGACCTGCAGGGGTTTCTGAGGTCGATCAGTGGGGCTTGCTGGCATTTRCACCAGCACCACTGGCGCTGTCAGCTCTGATCATGCACAGCTCGGGGCTCGCTGCTGACTGAGAACAGGCTTGGGCTGTGTCCAGTTCAGATCGAGTTAATAAAGGGAAATAAAACACTTCCCTACTAGCCAARCCCTGTTTTCAGGGTGCTGTTTAATGGGAGGCTGCAGTTCTGGACCAGAGCTGAGTGGGAGACCTGAAGGGTGTCACTGTAAACCCCTCTGGTGGCTCCAGCCTTTTGTCTCATAGGGAGCCAGCCCTTGCCATCCTTTGGCATCCCCTGCTGCTCGGGCYGGGCTGAGCATCCTGGCACATCCCTCCAGGACACAGGAAGTGCCCCACAAACAGCGGATCTGGAACCTCATGGAGCAGTGACTGACACCTACAGCAAGGGAGGGCATCCTGTCCCCTTTCTCAGCCCAGCCACCAGCTCTGAAACACCTCGGGATGCCCAGGAAATACCTGGCCCTAAAACTCCCCAAGGGCTGTTCCTGGCTTTATGGGCCAGTGAGGGGGTGYTCTTTCTCCACGACACCTGACGACACCTGACAGAAATAGGCTGCAAGGTGGGCACAGAGAGGGCATTGGTGGAGTAGAAAAATCGCAATAGATCTCTGAATCATGAAGYCGCTGATGTTTTGATAATGGTCAAGCATAGAGGAAGGAATTTAAGTTCCTGGCACAGGAACTTCCAGGCCAGGCTGCACGGGGTTTGGAGCACCCTGGGACAGTGGAAGGTGTCCCTGCCAAGGGCAGGGGGTGGGTCTGGATGAGCTTTAAGATCCTTTCCCACATAAACCATTCTGTGCCATGATGGTTCTATGATTTCATATGAGGGAGCTGCTCTAGGTCATTCCTATCCCYACAGTTGTTCTGACAAGTTTCTCCTGCAGATCCTTGATTCTGTCTTTCCTCCCCTGCATGGCAAAGAGACAACCAGTTCAGATAATCCTCATGGCAATTGGGATTTGGGCACACAGAGAACACTCTTCAGGAGAAGAGGATCCTGCAGGTTCCTCAAAGAGAAGGAGAAGGACTCCCTCTCTCTGTTCCCTGGCAGAACAGCATCTTTGAAACTGAAACCTGGAAAGACATCAGGAACCTCCTGGCATGCTGTGTGCTGCTCCAGGCACCCAGGCAATGCTGCCACCATTTGGGGATGGGGTATGGGGTTATCTATACTGACATCATCCTATTTCTAGTGATAACTCTGAGAAATCACATTTTAAATAATAATTGGCAGAGTCTGAAATAAGTTAAGTTGCCCTTCCAGGCCAGGTTSGATGGGGCTTGGAGCAGCCTGGGCTAGTGGAAGGTGTTCCTGCCCATGGCAGGGGGTGGCACTGGGTGATCTCTGAGTTCCTTTCCAGACAAAACAAGAAAAAGCAAACCCAGCAACAAGCAAAAATCCAGGGGTTTCTACACCCACCTTTGCCTCGCTTTTCCCCTCCTTGTTGCTCCTCTTGGCTCTGCTTTTGTCCTTGAAGCAGGAACACCGGGGCAGCCCGGGATGGTGCCGGAGCCGGGCAGCGGGGGGAGCAGTGAGACCGGGACACGGGACATGAGCAGGAGGATGGAATGTCCCCGCCCGAGACAGCAGCGGCTCCCCAGGCTCGGGAGAGCTTCCCCGGGGTCCTGCCAGCGCCCAGCCCGTCAGAGGGGCTCTGTGGGTGGGTTTGGTGATGCAAAAAAGGGATCTCATGGAGCTGGGTGGGATCCTGGCTGGGCACTGCTCCCTGGGGAACCCCGGCAAAGGGGAGAGTGCCAGGGGCACTGGGGAATCTCTGCAGGGGGAAACCGTGCACAGGGCTGGTGAGGATGGAAGTGAGCTCTAAATGCCTCCTGCAGTGCCCTGACTGGATGTGTGTACCCCCAGCACTCCTGAATCCCAGCCAGCCCCTCTGTGCCTCTGCTATTTTTAAATCCATCTATTTCCGCTGGTCTCTCTTGCTCTGGTGCAGCCTTTTCCACACTGACACTTCTGCAGCCCAGRAATCCTCCGGCATATTCCTCTTGTCCCCAGTGTTTCAGCAGCTGCACTGGGAGCAGGGGAGCTCAGGACAGCTCAGGACAGCAGTGCAGGGGCTGTGCTGTTTATTGTGGCTTTATGGGAAGCCTGGGAAACTCTTGGCCACAGCCACCCAGAGGCAGAAGGGTATTCCCAGTGCAGGATCCAGGGCGTGGGACTGGAGCTGGGAGTGGACACAGAAACCCTGCTGGCAGTGAAGGCTGGGGGGTTTATCCCTGATCCCACCCTCAAGGACAGTGGTCCTGCTGCCCCAGGGAGGCAGGGCTGGCATCAAGGCACACAAATATCTGTTCATCTGAAGCCAGAGCACTGGGATTTTCCAGCTGATGGGACAACACAAAAAATGAGGCCCTAAAGGACCTCCAGAGTGCCATGAGCCCAGTGCCTCCCAGACCATAAGGATTTGTCTGCACTGACTCTGCATCAGCCCTGTGGTGACCTGGATTYCTGCAGGGCTCTGTGGGTGTCCCTCCACCCTGCCCCATCTGCCACTTCATACCTGCTTCCATGGGGTGGCCAGGRCCCTCCTGCAAATGTTAGGGAAATCAGCAAAGCTTCGGGCAGTGGTGAATTGCTGCATTCATGGCACGTGGTGAAGCACTGACAGAGCCCAGAGTGGATTCATTGTGCATCCCACATTTGATGAACTTGCCTCCAGCAGATCCAATTATTCTATTAGCTGGAATTAGAGAGAAAAACACAGTTGAATTGTTAATTCATCAGGACAGGCACTGTCACAGTCACTGAAGATATTTCTGAATTTGGGGGTCTTTGGAAAATGAAGACAATTCCAAATGTACAAATTGCAGTTTCTGCATTATTTTGTATGTCCARCACACAGCTTTGTTATTGGAAACTYCAATAAACAGAAGTGGGTATTCCATATCCAACAGAAACCCTTGGAAGTTCAGAATCTGAGTGTTTCCCTTTCACTGAACTGCATCCTGAACTGTTCAAAATTTGGGAGTTGCCTTAAATTCTTTGCTGCTGCTTCTCTGTGTTCAGGCAGCAAAGGTGATTGAAATAATTCCCAACAGGATGGGGCTAAGCCAGATCCATGCAGGACAGGAGGAGGCAGCTGTAAAAGGCTTTCAGTCACACATATCTTTGTAACCACAGCATCCCCTGGGTCCCAAACCAGGAGCGATCCCAGGGGAATCCAGGTCTTGACGTCAAAGCCAACGAGAGTCCAGAAGTGCAAATGATTCCAAAGACTYAATCCAAGCTGTTTGTGCAAGGCTGGGAAACATCCAGCACCCTCCTGAAGGGAATCAGGAGTGAAACAAGGATCCTCATTCATCTAAASCTCCTACCCCACCTCTCCCAAGCACCTCTGCCCCAGGCTGAACAAGAGCCTTCTGTGCAAAGCCRAACTCAGCAGCACTGAAGCCTCCCYCAGCGCTGGGAAGAGCCTGTCAGATCCAGGGACTATGCAGGAGAGGTTCAGTGTGCTGAGTGCAGGGCCAGGAGCTTGGATTRTGTTGTCTGGAGGTGCAGAGAGGCRGCTCCTGAATCTCTTCCCACTGTGGGATGCATAACTGGGGCATCCACACTGGAGAATGGCATCGACTGAGGTCCTATAGGCTACAGAAACACAAAGCAGAGCCTGCTCCTGCCTGGGGTTTATGGCAGAATAACCAGGAGCAGGGAGACAAGACAAGGATACAGAGGCTGCTTTGTGGCTCTGAGGACCCCTGGCCAAGAGATCCATCTCTGTTGGGTGAGACTAGAGCTGCAATAATCCCACATGGAACAGCTCCACATCCTGGGGTCCCAGCCCTCAGTACATTGTCTGTACAGAGAGGGAAAAGCCACCTCTGGGACTCCCTATCAAGTCCTCATATCCTTGTGGAGAGGGAAAGCAGCACAAACCAGCCTGGCTCTGATTCAGATCCAAATTCACCTTCCATGCCTCAGTTTTCCCAACTCTTAAGAGGACAATCAGCCTTGCCCAACTTTATAAAATCCTGGGATATCTGCAGATGCAGATCTGATGTGATGAGTCAGATCTGCTTTGTGTGACTCAGCTGGCGTCCAACAGCCACGGAGCTTCCCTTGCTTCAGGATCTGTATTTGCTGTTCTTACTGCCAAGTGCCTGTCTGTTCCCAAAAGTGAACATGCCTGTGAGTTTCTAGACCCATTTGGGAAGACCAAGAAAAGTCTTTCTAGCTTCATTCTGAAATGGGAAATAGAAAAATTCACTGGAYGATCCACAACTTTCCTCCCTGCAAGAAAAACAGAAAACTACAGAGCGGGTTTCGCTTCTAAAATTAGCATAACTGTCCCTGACTCAGGAACGTGGCTCTGCAGTACCAGGAGCTCTGGCAGGAGAGGGATCTRACCCTGGAATGGTCTGTAATGTGTGGATGCTGCCTGCTGAGAGCAGGAATTAAATGCGAGCCGCTCCTTCCGCAGCTCCAGAGAGCAGGCGTTGCTGTGCAAGAATGCAGCAGGGTTGCATCACGTGGGCTCCTTGAATTTTCCAGATATCCTGCCGCCTCTTCCCTGCCAGGTTCTTACGGGGAATCTGTGCAGTAGCTGGGAAAAACCCACTGCAGTTTCCTGCTGGTGTATTTGAAGCAGGCAGTATTCAGGCCAAGTGGTGCGTGTGGGGTTTCATGTGGGGACACAGGGAAGATGTCTCTTTTTTCCTACGTGTTCCCGGCCTTGGAGATGCAGCCTGGAGATAYATCCTGGCCTCCTGCAGACACATCCTGAAGTGCCACGTTACAGGTTTAGCCCCTGACCCAATCTGGACCTATGGCAAGGGACATCTGCACCCCAGGTGGGTGCATTTTGTCATCCCAAGCAAAGCTGCAGCAGCTCAGATCTGGACAGAGGTCCCAGGTCAGGTCCCACCAGATCAGTCTAACATCCCCAAGGTGCTTGGAGAAGTGGGAAGGATGGGTTTGGTTCTACTTCTCCTGTTTGGTTTTACACTAAAGGAGCAGAGATTTAGATTGGATATTGGGAAGGAATTCCTGGTTGTGASGGTGGGGTGGCCCTGGCACAGGGTGCCCAGAGCAGCTGTGGCTGCCCCTGGATCCCTGGCAGTGCCCAAGGCCAGGCTGGRCAGGGCTTGGAGCAGCCTGGGACAGTGGAAGCACCGTGTCCATGGCAGGGGTTGGSAAGGGATGWTTTTAAGGTCCCTCCCAACCCAAACCATACTGGGATTCCTGCCTTATCTCTCTGGGCAGCTTTTCTGCTGCCTCTGTAAGAGCAGAGAAGACAAAGAGGGTGCCAAGGCCCTTCCTAAGCATCCCTTTGCTTGCCCATCCCTGGCACGGGGCTGAAGAGGATTSTACCCGATGTTTGTTCCCGCTGTTTGTTCCTGCTGGGCCACTGCCAGTKCTGAGTCCAGCGTGTCCTTCCTGGGATTCATCCCTCCCTCCTCCTTTCCTGCCTTAAACTGCTGCACCAACCCCCCCTAAAGTGCAAAAGGCAGCAAAAGCAGCCCCAGCCCTGTCCTGCACTCGGCCCCTCTGGCATCAACAGTGGCAGTTTTGGGGCTCAGCTTGTTGGGAACACGATTCCCAACAAGAAAACAACTTTTAGGGGCAGCAGTAGGATTGGGGAGACAAGCAGTTGTGTGACACACTTGCACCCACGAGCACAGGCTGAGCCCACCCCGCCTCCCAGCCCTGWGCAGTGCTGTGCTGGAAGCAGAAGATTGGCTGGCTGAGGATCCCTCTCCAAGGCAGGGTCGGGTTTAGGGGCGTTTCTGTTCCCTCTGCTGGCTCTGGAATAAACGGTTTCCTTTTACATGCCAGTTCCTCGGGAGGGGCTGAAAGGGGGGAGCGTGTGGGGCTGAGCCTCCTCTCAGCTTCCACCACATGGGAAGGAGAGGCAGAGCTCAGATCTTTCACATTCCCATATGCTCCTGCAAAATGGCAGGAAAGGATGAGGGCAAGCTCACTGCAGCAGAGTGAAATCAGCTTTTAACAAGACTTCAAAGATCCCCCACCAGAGCTCCACCCTGTGTAGGTAATATCAACCACCTGAGCCTTCCCTGCTTATACTTTGTAGTAAAGGGTGAAAACCTGGAATTGGCACCTTCCCTGCTGCCTGTCTGCAGTGAGGAAACTAAGGCTGCAGCATCCCAAAGCCCTGGTGCTCTCATAGCCTGCCCTTGAGATGGCCCCAGTGTTGGTGAAGCTGACGTGGCTGACAAACCAACCACGTGCTTTCCCTTTCRGCTGTTTTTTGGGAGGATGCAGCCAGTCCCAGGCACCACAAGGCAGAAGGGAGGGGRTAAGGAGTGCACATCTCCAGGGCAGAGCGGCTCATCTTAGAATTTAAGGTTGGAAAAGACCTTTAGGATCACTGAGTCCAAACACTGGCMTGGAAAGGGCATCCTGGAGTCCTCTTGGGTTGCCACGACCCCAAAGCAGAGCTCCTGGATCAGTGTAAGAATAGCACAGGACCCCACGGCTCTGTCAGATCTCCCCAGGGATGGCAAATCCCTCCTGCCACATCCACAAGGATTCCATCTCCTCCTACCATAGCCCAGCTCCTAGGAAGGTGTGGGATGCAGGGGCTCGCCCTCCAAGCTGCCATCACCCATGCTGGCCCTCTGCTGAGGTCACACAGATGTCATTCTTTCCACCCAAAAGCACCAGAGGAATTCCACCCCCCTGCCTCGCTGTGCTGGCTGGAAACCCTGTGGATTTTGAACTTTTCTCTGGGAGTATTAAACAGGGATTACAAGCAGGGATCAAGGGAGTCTCTCTCTGCTGTGCCCTGTGGGAAAGCTGCAGCCTCTGTAGCCTGCCCTCCCTGGTTTGTGCACTGTGACATACCTGGCTGATGCCACGGATGGGGAATTCGCTGCCTCCATGGCAATCAGGTCTTTTCCTCTTCCTTTTCCTCCTCTACCACACCTGCTGAAGAAGCAAAAGGCCATCAGTGTTTGAGGAAGATGCACAGAATCTGCACCCTCAGGGCACGTCCCCGAAAGCTGGCAGCTGGCAYGGCCAGCTCTGGGCACAGCCGGCTGGCACAGCCAGCTTGGCTCTCCCTGCTGCTCTGCAGACAGGCCAGGGCACGGATCCACGGGATGCAGCCTTTCAGCTCCACTGCCAGCCTTTGTRTGCCGTCTGCTCACACAAAGCTGGGCCTTGCAGCTCCAGCCAAGCTGGGACCTGGGCACWGCTCAGAGCCACTGAGGAGGACAGGGCTGGGATCCCACTGCAGTGCTGCCAGCAAAGCCATGGCTCCRGGATGCCTGGGCTGCACAAATGAACTCACAGTGCCAAAGGAGRGTGTGCAGAGGGGAAACTGAAGTGCCCTTGAGCACTTGCCCCCGAGCTGAAACGGAATCCTGCCAGGAAACAGAATCCCCCCAAAAGCTTTGCATGTGGGACCTGGAGGAGCAGGCAGGCCCCGACTGTCTCTGGAGCAGAGAAGGATCCAGAGAGAACTTAGAGCTCTTTCCAGTGCCTAAAGGGGGCTTATGAAGAAAAGAGATTTTTTTATAAGGGCAGAAAGTGACAGGACAAGGGGGAATGGCTTCCTATGGCCAGAGGGATATTGGGAAGGAATTATTGCCTGTGTGAGTGATGACACCCTGGCACAGGGTGCCCAGAGAAGCTGTGGCTGCCCCTGGCAGTGTCCAAGGCCAGGCTGGA